TCCTCTCCTCTCCTCTCCTCTCCTCTCCTCTCCTCTCCTCTCCTCTCTTCTCTCTAGTCCAGAAATTTTATACAGCTTAGAAGGTAAATGTAAAGATATCTTCACTACCTAAAGCCTGAGAGCTGTTATATGCTCTCATTAGGAAGATGGGGAGTTCAGACACATACAGAAGATGGATTAAGAAACTGCATACTGCTGTGAAAGATTTTGTGCTATCAGTCCTTTTGGAAGCAGATAGCAAACTGCTCTGACCATCCCCCTCAACTCCCAGCTTCCACACGATCAGGTCTCAACTCCCAGCTTCCATTACCCTCTTTTTAATGCCTCTGGGAAGTGATTCTATCTCATACTATTTGAAGTAAATAAGCTGCCCTCCTAAATCTTTCCAGTACATATTCTTCAGGAAGCAAAGACACACAGGCTGCCATCACCTGAGAAGCAACGTAAACAGAGTCAACAGTCAATGTGGTTTTCGTGCATCTCAGTTAAAAATAACAATAAAGAAAAAGAACCTGGACCTGCGTTCGCCGCTGGAATGCACAGCTGGATGCAGATCAGAGAGAGCCAAATCCAAGTCAGCACGTCGGCCTTTCTTTTGGAAGAGGAGGAACAATAGTATCCATAGCCCACAGCATCTCGCTATAGACAGAGGCCTCCAGTCCGTGGGACATCAGGTTGAGCAGGCTGAGAAAAGGGAAAATATCAGACCCAAACAGGCTTCGATAGCAAGGCCGTTAGAGAGGAAAGAAGCAAGTAGCTGAGGGGAGATGTAGAAACACATCCTTCTCTTCACATAGATTTCAGTCTAACTCCAACAAACAAACAAACAAACAAACAAACAGAGCCAACAACCAGAAGGACCCACGGTCAGAAGGAATTGCAGAAGGGAACAATGCAGCTAATTTTCTTGTGGAGAAGGTGGGTGGAGAATTGCAGAAATGTCACAGTTTCCCTCCCTCCCATTTTCTTCAAGGGTGTTTTCCTCAGAGCTCTTCCTTGCTCTTCTCCTCCCCACAGCAATCAGCCAAGCTGGGAAGAGGAGATTGTCTCTAAACTCAGCAGTGTGCCTTGAGCACGGAACAAGTGCTGACAGTAAACAAGTAAGCACAGTCGACAGCTGTGGCAACCACAGAGGCAAAGCCTGCTCAGTGACAGGAATGAAGGCTGTTCCAGAGGTAAGGAGGGTTTGTCTTTCTTTTCTGGTCACAGCTGTGCTTCTTACTGTTACTGGCTTAGAGGATTAGGGCAGCAGAGTTTTGGAACTCTGCATCCAGAAGGGTCTTGCCCCTGTCCCACAGTGTGCGGGGATTTCGAGCTCCTTGCTCTTTCTGTTACTCGCCCGTGCTTAGGCTGTATTCAGAGAATAAAGAACTGCAAAATGGTAATAATTTTATAACAGGTGGCCAAAATTTCCAATGTGAAAATCAGAAAGTCTATTGCAACAGATAATTCAGGAGCAAAGTGAATGTAAATAATTCACTTTTCCTAAATGGTAAGGGATGAGATCTTACACAACGAAGAACAGTAATTTTTTTTTCAGCCAAGTAAATAGTAGTTAGCCAAGTAATAGTAATTCCTTTTCAGCCAAGTAAATTTTTTTTGCTCACTTCTCTGCCATAGTCTGCATTTGGAAAGTAAAAGCTACAGTGTTTTATGACCCTAAGGAGTCAGCAGAATAGAATTAGAAAGGTACAGAAGCAGTTAGGCATTTAACCTTTGCAAGAAGTTTACAGGAGTCAAGTAAGATGCTTTTGCTTTTGGCAGGTTTCTGTTAATGACTAAATAAATGGACATTTAAAAGATATTGGACAATAGTATTCCCCTCCTCCTCCCACCCCCCCACCTCTTTCTGTATTTTCTGTTCTCTTAGTGTGCTTGTACAGGAATCACTAACACAGTGTCCAAACATAGTCCACTATTATATTACTGGAGATGATAATACATTTCTAGAATGATGAACAGGCTGTTCATTTTCTTAGCCTTTCCATGTGGGAAGGAGTCCATGCTGAGCATGTCTACTTCTTGTAGGCTTTTATTATTTTTGTAAATAGCCATGTTTCCTGTTTTTGCAGTAAATTAAATAAATATTAAGCACAATGACAAGCACAGTTCTACATAATCTTTAGCTGATGCATGCAAAAAACAAACATTATTGAAGGCAAAGTTATACCAATGTTACAGAGATGGATCAAAACCAAAATCTTGGAATGGAATCTCGGTGTGAAGGTTCAACCTCTACTGCCGTACCAACAACCCCCACTCTTGGTATTGTGGAACAACATAATTCAAGAGGAGGCGTTACTTTTGGAGCATCCCCCATAGATAGAAGCAGTGAGCAGGAAGGACGTGGAGCTCTTGGAGCGGGTCCAGAGGAGGGGAACTGAGATGATCAGAGGGTTGGAGCACCTCTCCTATGAGGAAAGGCTGAGGGAGTTGGGTTTGTTTAGCTTGGAGAAGAGAAGGCTTCAGGGAGACCTCATTGTAGCCTTCCAATATTTGTAAGGAGAGTATAAAGAGGAGGGGCAATGACTGTTTCAAGGGTGGGTAGTGATAGAACAAGGGGGAATGGTTTTAAACTGAGGCAGGGGAGATGTAGGTTAGATATTAGGGGGAAGTTTTTCACACAGAGGGCATTGATGCACTGGAACAGGCTGCCCAGGGAGGCTGTGGAAGCCCCATCCCTGGAGGCATTCAAGGCCAGGCTGGATGTGGCTCTGGGCAGCCTGGTCTGGTGGTTGGTGACCCTGCACATAGCAGGGGGGTTGAAACTAGATGTTCATTGTGTTTGTTTTCAACCCAGGCCATTCTAGGTTTCTAGGATTCTATGATCCTATGATTTGAACTCCCCTACAGGAACTTCATTAAAAGAGAGACATGGATCTGTTGAGGTGCCTCCAGAGGAGGACCACAGATGCGATGCTAGGGATAGAGCCTCCCCTATGAGGACAGGATGAAAGAGCTGGGGCTGTTCAGCCTGGAAAAGAGAAGACTCCCGGGAGATCTGCTAGTGCCCTTTCAGTATCTAAACTGGGGCAGTAAGAAAGAAGGGGACAGACTCTTCAGCAGTTCTGTTGTGGCAGAGAAGGGGAAATGGTTTCATACTAAAAGAGGGGACATTTATATCGTATATTGAGGTTTAGAAGTTTTTGGTGTTAAGTGTAGCGAAGCACAGGAACTGATTGCCCAAAGATGTGGGGATGTCTTGTCCGTGGGTACATTCAACATCAGGCTGAGCAACTTGGTCTAGCTGTAGACGTCCATGTTTATTGCAGGGGATTTGGACCAGATGACCTTGAAGGGTCCCTTCCAACACAAACAATACTCTGATTCTTTGACTGGGATGCAGGAGCTATTTCTTGAGGAGATATCTGAAATTAGTGCTCAACAGGCTGTCCAGGGGGATTGTGGATTCTCCTCCTCTGGAGACATTCAGGACCCACCTGGACACCTTTCCTGTGCAGCCTGTTGTAGGGGGCCTGCTTGGCAGGGAGGTTGGACTTGATGATCTCTGGAGGTCCCTTCCAGCTCCTGCAATTCTGTGATTCACTCAACTTATCACACTAACAGAATAAAGAACCACTAGTCCAGACCATCCTGTAATCAGCTTTATGGGCTCCAAATTGGCTTTGATCTCTTCAGGAGGCGTATTCAAGGTGATTCCGTAAACCAGCAGAAGCTAGGAAAGGACATGCCTCCTCATGGCAAGCTGGTTCTTAGGTGCAGATTTCATAGCCCTGTGGAACCTGCTGTATTTGGAAGAGAATGGGAAACAAAGGGCGTGAAGCAAAGCCTATGGGAGTGGACTGGGCCTCCTGTTAGCCTTCTGGCATGAGTCAATAGTGAGTTTCTAGTAGCTTAGGGAGAAGGCATAGCATATGGCCAGTGCTAAATGTAATGAGTTGTCTTTTCTTCCTTTTTTTCTGCACATTCCATTTTTCTCTTTTACAGACCTGTGACCAGGAGCTGGGAACAGGTACAAAGAAAGAACGATGTCTTCGGGAGAAAAGCCTACTTCTGTGCGCCCTTCTTCTCAGTACTCTCCTTGGTTTTGCATTACTCATCACCTACATCACGATGACTTGTGCTCCAGGTATAATGTGGAATATCCTTTTCCCTGACTCCATATCCACCCTGTTTTTAAGATCTCTTCCTCCCTCTGCCTGCATGGATTATTGTGCCCAGTGTCTGTGTGAGGGTAAGACTTTCAGAAAGACGAAGAAGCGTAAAAAAGTACTAGCTGTAAAAAAGGTAGATTGTTCTGCCTCCTCCTTGTGTGATAGTAGGGAGATATCCCCCTGCTTGTCCTCCTCTGACTGCCATTTGATAAGCCTGGGCCCAGCTTTGTGAGAGAGCAGCATTATATTGCCAAGAAGTTCTTGAATTTCATCATCCTGGCTTCTAGCTTCTATGACCCTGCTCCATCTGCAGTCAGCTCCAGGAAACTGGCTCTGAATCTGAGATTCAGAGCTTCTCTTCCACTTGTCTATCCTTGCTTTAATAAGCCTAGTTCTAGTTTTCTAATGCCAACCACTATATTGATATACAGAAAACTCACATTCTCCTGGGCAGTGGGGAAGCTGTGAGTGGAGACCTGAAATAGTCAGTTACCTTTCAAATTCACTAAAAAGCTATCTGCAGAACAGTCCACACAAATGCTGACATGTACAGATAGCTTAATATTGAGGCTGTGTTTATATGGGTGGGTACATGTATCTCCTACTCCAAAACAAGCATGGTTGACAGGCATTTTTCTTCAACTTCTGTCATGAATGGTTCACTAGAGAAACTAGGGAAAAAGTTGTTAGTTTCGATCATGTCCATTTCCACTCTGCGTACCTCCTTCCACTTTAACAAACCACAGTTTGAAACCATAGCATGAAAATCTTGCTTTGATCTGTGAGTGGTTAATTTAATAGTAGAGCTGATGTTGATGTTGTATCTGATGTCGATACAAGACCCTGACTCTAAGTGAGAGCATACACCCATTGGGTTCACAGCATTCCGGATGAAGGAGGTTTTAAATGAAAGCAAGATACACCACAAGCAAGTCTTTGTCCTGTTTAAAAGCTGTCATTGCCAAGAAACGTTTGTTTCCCATGCTTGAACACCTCCCTGCGTGCATTAACCTCTTCTCCTTACCTTCTTTGTACCATGTCCTCCTTTTGCTTTGTGGGTGAACATCACCAGTAGTTCCTTGTTTGTCGCCTGGTCAAATCAGTGCGTGCTGTTTGAGAGAAAACAGAGAGAAGGCGGAGTAATCCAACCTGTGGCTGCCGAGCAGGAACCACTGGAGGGCACCACCCCTGGACGAATTGCCTGTCTTTGACTGACACAATCTCCCTTGCACAGTGCAAAGCAGCTTTGGTGTGAAGTCAAAGACAGAGGGTATATTATTGCATCCTCAGCAAAAACTTACAGGGAGTTCAACAGTCTGTATGCAATGGAGCTTGTATCAAACAGAAATCTTATTCTAAGTTTCCTCTTTTTTTCTTTTTTCTCCTGGCACTCTTGGCCAGACTCCTGAATTCTAGGTATGACACTGTAGTGCCCTGTGAGGATTTCCACAAATTTGACTGTGGCAGCTGGGAAGGCAAACACTCAAGCACAAAAGTATCACGAAACATTTTTGATGTGCTGTTGGAAGAAAACCAGCTGATATTGAAAAAGCTTTTAGGTAGGAAGAGGCCAAGCCCCACCTCACCTCAGCCTCCCTTCAGGTGCAGAGTGCGATAGGGTCTCCCCTGACTTCCCTCCAGGCTACGCAATCCCAGCTTCCTGAGCTGCTCCTCATAAGACTTGTGCTCCAGACCCCTCACCAGCTTTGCTGCCCTTCTCTGGACACGCTCCAGGGCCTCCATGCCTTTCTTGCAGTGAGGGGCCCAAAAGCGAGCACAGTACTCCAGCTGCAGCCTCAGCAGGGCTCAGAACAGAGGGATGGTCACTCCCCTGCTCCTGCTGGCAATGCTATTTCTGATACAAGCCAGGACGCCATTGGCTTTCACGGCCACCTGGGCACACTGCTGGCTCACGTTCAGCCCAGCACAGACCAATACCCCCAGCTCTGTTTCCTCTACACACTCTTGCGGGGCAGCCACTCTGCCCCAGACCTGTAGCGCTGCCTGGGCTTGTTATGGCCAAAGTGCAGGACCAAGGATTCCCTTCGTGTGGCCTCACCCCACACAGCTAGGACATGCCGGGCCGCATGAGATCTCATCCCAGTCCTGCTCAGGGGCATCATCTGTTTGAACAGGAGCGAGCTGATGAGCAGCTTCTCGATAGGGTTGGCATTTGCTTTACAGAATCGAAATCCGCTGCCTCTGTAAGTCTTTGCCTCTTACTACCACTAGATGGTAGCCTTAGCGAGCATTTCCCCTTCCTCTGCGAAGTCCAGTTTAATACTCAACTGCAAAGTTTCTAATTGATCAAGTCTGCACTTTTCTCACAAACAGTACAGGGCCAGGATGCTGGCGCTGGCTGCTAGTAACTGCTAGTAGTAGACTCAAGTGAACAAAGCTGAAGGTGTGTTCAGTATATCAAGCCCAGTACAAAGGCAAGTATACACTGCATCACTTGCTCTGCCCTTACGGTGGGGGGGAAGGGGAAGGAGGGGATTTACTCCCTCAGTCTCCACGCAGAGGTTTAGGGATGCACAGTTCAGGGACCTGAGAAATACACGGATCCTGACAGCTCTAGTGCTCTCAGAATGGCATCCTTGAAGAGCAGCCTTGAACGGAGAAGCGTTACTGCGCTCTCCGTAGCTGCAGTTTGGTACTTGAAGGAGTAAACCCGCACTTCAAAAGGAATGGTAGAATCACAGAACCATTACGGCTGGGAAAGAGTCTCACACCGCCACGTCCAGCCCCGACCCACAAAGAGTCCTTCCGCGGTTTGCCCTAAGGGAATAATGACGCTATTTGAATAGTCATCATCCAAGTTGCTTTATTGCTAAACCAATATCACGGGAGCACAAAACCAGCCACAGCCGGGGATGGCGGTGCCGTGCCCGCAGGCCGGCGCCCCGGACGCCGCTTTGAAGGGCGCAGCCCGGATCGGCGCTGCGGACGGAGCCCCGGGAGGTACCGACGGCCGCGGCCCCGCACCTCCCCGCTCCGCCCCGCCCCGGCCCGCACCTCCCCGTTCCCTCGGGCAGCTCCGGCCGCGGTCGCGGGAGAGACAGAGCAGGAGGCGCGAGGAGGAGGGCAGGAAGCCGTTGCCGGGGCGACGCGCGGCTGGGGCGGGCGCTGTGCGGGTGGCAACTCGTTGGAACGCGTGCCGTTGCTAGCGGCTTGCTTGCCGTGACGCCGCTAGGCACGGCTCTGTGCCGCAACCGGAGCCGAGCCGACGCCGCGCTGCCAGGTGGGGAAACGGGCCGGGCGGGCGGGGAGCGCTTCGAGCCGGGCAGCGCTGGGCTCTGCCGTCCTCCCGAGTGCCGGCACTGCCTCCGGCATTAAGGCGGCCGGCAGCTTTCGTCGCCGCCCGTCTGCTTCGGCCGTTGAGCGACAGAAGACGCGGCGCTGGGGCACGGCTCGGGGAGGCCGAGCCTAATCTCCGTCCCGCGTTCCTCCTCCTGCGCTCTTTTTCATGGAAAGCTGTGCCAGCTTCTGCAAACGTACAGCTTCCTGAAAAAGTAAGTGTGGTAAACCCGTAATTTTGTCAGTACGGGCAAGATTGTAACCGACAGCTAACAGAAAATAAACATGGGAGGGAGTGGGCTGAAAGAAAGATGCAGAACCACAGAAGTTGCAAGAAAATAACTTGTGATTATATTTCTTCCCACCTAGATATAACAGAGTTGAACAGAGAGAGCTTGTGAAACAAGACATCTTGAAGGCAAAGCACAACGGCAGGGAGAAGCTCAGCCTCGGATAGGTGTACATGGCCGCAGCCAGCAGGCGGGCATGAAGACGCTAGCAGAGACACAGGCCAAAGAGCAGCAAGACCACCTCAGCTACGGAGCAGCCAGAGCGCCTGAAAATGCGACAAGCATCAGGTACCACAGACACGCACTCAGGGGAGAGACCCCTTCACCAGGGGCTATTCCCCACGCACGGGGTCCCCTCCCCAGGTGTCACAGTTTTATGACTTTTGGCTATCAGTATTACACACCATTACATCATGTAATGCACTGGGGGTTTTATTTGTAATGCTCAGTTCCGAATATTTGTCTGACAGAGGAGAACTACATTTCCCCAGGTGGCTATGTGGTCAGCGAGGAGATAGAACTGTGTGCAAGGTCACCTGATCCTTCTTTGCCTGCTCTATTCCATCTGCACTTCTCCATTTGCAATTTGCCATCTGCTGTTATCCATCTGCTCAACTGAACTGGACCTACACCTCAGCGTTGTGACAAGACCTACCTACCTGACAAACTCTCAATCTCTCTCATTGTATTTTGCTGATTGCTAAACGACATTGCTCGACGTCGGATTGTTGCTGCTGTTTTCAATTGCTTTGGAGTTGATGCAGGTGAAGAAGAGCATAGAAAGAAGAAGGATGAGGTGACCTTGCATACAGTTATATCTCCTTGCTGACCGCAAAGCCACCTGGGGAAACGTAGTTCTCCTCTGTCGGACAAATATGTGGAACTGAGCATTACAAATAAAACCCCCAGTGCATTACACGATGTTACCGTGTGTAATACTGATAGCCAAAAGTCATAACACAATGACATGGGTCACGGAACTGGGCCAAAGAGGCGGTAAACCGTTGACACCAGGCGGAGGGACCCCAGCCGCACCCACACACAAGGGGATCCCTCAAAAACTCGAGGGCGAAGCCCCATCTCACCTGCACGCACGAGGTCCCCTCCCCAGCCGGAGGGCACCCCAGCCTTGCCTGCACGCATG